GATGTCCACCAACTGATGAGTGAAAATGAAGTATGTTTACACAATGGAATATTATTCAGCGGATAACTGATATTAAAGGCATTTTGAAAAACTGTATGGAAATGCACTACTGTAGGAGTTTCCCAAAATATATACATATATGAAAAGAATCTAAATGGAGTCACCATATAATGGGGGAGATAATGCACAGACTAGACTGTGGTGATATATTATGTACCCTAATAAAATTTGCCTGAAGATTAGAGAACAGAAATGTGGTGATATTTTATTTGTGCATCCTAATAAAGCTTATCTGAGGATCAGAGGAAAAAGCCATCCACTATATTAAACATAGAGGTCAGGCAGTGGTAGCACATGCATTTAATCCTAACATTCGGGAGGCAGAGATTCATCCAGATCTCTGTGAGTTCAAGGCCACATTGGGAACAGCCAGGTGTGGTGACACATGTCTTTCATCCCAGCACTAGTTAAACATAGAGGTCTGGAGGTCTATACAGACAGAAAGTGATGGAGCTGGGTGGAGAGAGGAAGTGATGAAGCTCGGCAGATAGAGGAAGAAAGATGGCAGGGCACAGAAAGGTATATAAGGCGTGAGTACACAGGAAGTAGCTCTCTTTAGACTGAGGACTTACTAGAGGTAAGAACTTGTATCTGGCTTGTTCTGCTTCTCTAATCTTTCAGCTTTCACCCCAATATCTGGATCCAAGTTTTCAATTAATAAGACCGTTTAGCAATTTGTGTTACACAGAACAAGCCACTAGATTAAACATAGAAACCAGACAGTGGTGGCACACACCTTTAATCCTAGCACTCGGGAGGCAGAGATCTGTCTGGATCTCTGTGAGTTCAAAGCCACCCTGGACTATATGAGATTTACTAGTCTATGAGAGAAACAGAGCCAGGCTGTGGTGGCACACACCTTTAATCCCAGCACTAAGAAGGAAGTGATATGGTGGGCAGAGAAAGGTATATAAGACCTGAGGAGACACGAAATAAAGTATTTCAGCTAGAGGCCTTTTCAGGCTGAGGAGTCCTAGAGGTAAGACGTGGCAGTAGCTAGTTCCTTTGTTTCTCTGATCTTTCAGCACTTACCCCAATATCTGGTTCTGTTTTTTTTTTATTATAAGACCTTTAAAATTTGAGTTACACTAGACACCTTATGCTAACAAGCAAAACTTCCAATGCCTGGAATCATTGAGTCATTGACCAGAGGGGTCCCATGGATACCCACCACCAAGCATCACAGGCTATTGCCAAGGTTATTGTTTTTTTCTACAACCTTATGGTGAGGCCCTGTTGCTGAGACATTTACTTATGTCACTGAACATGGAGAAGTTGAGCTGGTGACCAAATAGAAGGTTCATTCCTACTGACTAGTGTTCATGATGCTGGAACATACTTTGCACTCTACTGAAGAAGGAAAGTAATCATCAATATCACCCAGCTACATACCCTGTGACCTACAAGTGAGACTGTAAGATATATTGGTGCAATAGTGGCACAAATGTTACATTATTTAAAAATTATATCCAAGGCCCACGCCATGAAATGAAATGGAACCCATACCTAACACGCTAAAGTGGCCAAGAATCCCAAGACTAGACAGGTCATGGGCCTATGGGGAAAATTGAAGTGTGATCCTAGTTAGTCTTAACAATAAAAACCCAGAGTCAGATATCGAGGGTGAAAGCTGAAAGATCAGAAAAGCAGAGCAGCAGCCACTAGAAACTTCTTAACTCTACAAATCCTCAGACTAAGATCCTGTCTCCACCCACCTTATAAACCTGTCTCTACCTCCTGATTATACTTGGATTAAAGGCATGCACTACCACTGCCTGGCTCTGTATCTCTAAGACTGGTTCAATCTCATGTAGCCCAGGGTGGCCTTGAACTCCTGATTTTCCTGATTCCTCCACCCAAGTGCTAGGATTAAAGGTGTGTGCCACCAGGACCAGGCCTCTATGGTTAACTAGTAGAGAGCTCCAGTCTCTGATCTCTAGGTAAGCTTTATTTGTCAGAACACAAACAAAATATCATACAACAGAAAACCTAATATTACTATTCTGCTAAAGGAACATAGCAACAAAATGACTCCTAATGACACACTGCTATACTCATAGATCAGTGCCTTGTTCAAGTCTCATCAGAGAAGCCTCTTCTTGTAGCAGATGGGAACTAACACAAATACACAACTAGACAATGTGCAAAGAGTGAAAGACTTTGGAGCACTTAGTCCTAAATGGAATGTCTTTATCAAACCCCTACTCACAAGGCTCCAGGATCTACATGGAAGAGGAAGGGGAAAGATTGCAAGAGCCAGAGGTGACGGATGACTCCAAGGAAACAGTGTCTTCCAGACACACAGGACTGATGAACATATGAGCTCAAAGAGACTGTTGTTGTAGCATGCACAAGACATTCACAAGTTCAAGCCAGATGTGGTTCCATCACTGATAGGGAGAAGTTGACACAGGGTCCCAACTCTAACCAAGAAGCTATTTGCAATTGATATCTGCTGGCAAATGAAAAGTCAGTTTTCTCCTATGGATTGTCACTGGGTATATCAACTATACTCCAGGGCAGAGCCCATACTCAGGATAAGTTGGCCAACACAAAATGACCTCTATGTTTTTCGTGTGTGTATGTGTGTAAGTGTGTGTACTTTTTTTCATTTTTTTTGTCTTATTGGTTTTACTTTGCTTTGATTTTTTAGAGATAAGGTTTCTCTATGTAGGCCTGGTTGTCCTGGAACTTGCTCTGTAGACCAGGCTGGCCTCAAACTCACAAAGATCTGCCTGCCTTTGCCTCCCGAGTGCTGGGATTAAAGGCATGTGCCACCACCACCCAGCTTTGTTTTGATTTTCATTTTTTTTGTGTTTCTTTTTCAAAGAGAGGGAGAGATAGAGAGGGAAGATAAAGTTGGGTAGGTAGGGAGGTGCGGAGGGTCTAAGAAGAGTTGGGGGAGGGAAACACATGTTCAAAATGTGTTGTATGACCCACAACTTCAGAGAGGCTAGCTAACAGGAAAGACCCTAGGAGGGACACATGGATGATCCTGTGAAGGAGAAGAAAATGAAATCTACATGAGTGGACTTGGCGGGGGATGGCAGAGGGCAAGGAGTGGGGGATGAGAACATAGGGAAATGGGAAGGTCAAGCTGGAACAGGGACAGAGTGGGAGGGCAGGGAGGAAGATACCATGATAGATGAGGACATCATGGGAATAGGTGCTGGGCAGGCTCTCAGGAATCTACAAGGTTGACCCGACCTTGGTATGCTGGCAGTGGTTCAGAGGGTGCCTGGACTGGTCTACTCTGGTGACCAGCCTAGCAAATAACCTAACTGTCATCATAGAGCCTTTGTCCAATGACAGATGGAGGCAGATACAGAGATCCATGGCCAGACACCAGGCTGAGCTCTGGGAATCCAATTGATGAGAGAGAGGAGAGATACTGCAGGTGAGGGACATCGAGCTCATGATGGGAGGACATGCAGAGATGACCGGCCCCACTAGTGGAAGTCCATGAACTGTGGACTGGTGGCTGTGGAGCCCCCATGGGACTGGACTAGGACCTCTGGATACGGAAGATGGTTGTTTGGCTCAAACTGTTTGGGGGGCACCCAGGCAGGGGGATCGGGATCTATCCCTGGTCTATGGGCAGGCTTCTGGAATCCAGTGCCTGTGGTGTGACACCTTGCACAGCCTTGGTGCAGTGGGAAGGGGCTTGGGCCTGCCTAGGCTCAGTGTGCTGGGCTTTGCTGACTCCTCATGGGAGACCTCAATTTGGGGGATGTGGGGATGCTGGGTGGCTTGAGAAAGAGGGCTTGGGGGTGGGAGGAGGGAGGAGGAGGGGTCTGTGGATAGCATGTGGTATGAGTAGAAAATTTCTTAATAAAGAAAAATGAAAAAAATATGTTGTATGAAAAAATAAGGAGGTAAGTGCTCGTAAAGTATTTGATAAAATTCAATTGTAATTACAAACAATATAGAAATAGAAGAATTTTTTTTTGAGATGAAGTCTCACTATGTAGCTCTAGCTGCTCTAGGATTAGTTATGTAGACCAGTCTGGCCTTGAACCCACAGAAATCCAACTGCCTTTGTCTTCCAAGTGCTAGAATTAAAGGTGTGCACTATTATGCATGGCTAGAAGGAAACTATTTATACATGATGAACAGTATTTGTGTAGAACCAACGGGAAACATATTTAACATTGGATATAGTTGCATTTCAAGAACAAAGTAGGCTTATTTGTGTGTATCTCTGTGTGTGAATCACAATACATTAGAGCAATTACTGTTTTCTGTTTACCAGGTCCTGTCAGCATCATGCATATCATCAATATAAGCATCATGCATATCATCAATATAATAGGTACCACTGGGGTGTTTTTGTAGCATATCAAGAGCTATTTTGCATTTGTCAGTAAAACTCTGTAACTCTTTTCCTTAGCTCCTGTGTCATATCTACCTATAGCCTCAGCATATGGATAATATTATACTGTGATATGAGGGAATGGGGCTTTGCATTGAATTAATAGTCATATAAGTGAAAATGGACAAAATGGGAGGGACACAGAAAGAGAGAATTGGGATACATTTCTGGTGCAGCTAATCAGGGATGTAAAATTAGAGAAGTATAACCAACAATGTTAAGGATTTATGTCTGTTTAATTTCCTCAAGCTTACCTCTAGAGAAGAAATTCCCAAGGTTTTCCCATTCTTTCATATAAATGATCTTAATCTCCATTCACGGTTTTGGCTAATAAACTAAAGTCTTTCATGTACAGACCCCTAAGAAAATTCACATTCTCATAATACAACATGTCTGTATTTATATCATGTATGAAAGTATTAAAACTTTGACTTTTTTGTTTGTATGTCCATAAACATTCATATTACCCATAGGAAGAAAATTCATTTTTGGGAGCTTGTAGACTGTACCATCTGCCAAAAGCTCTTTAAAGTTTTCCTGCCCTCTCATGAAAGAACTAATTACATACCATTAAAGTTCCAGTGGAATTCCCTCGATAACTCAGCCACTTCTTGCCATCGAGACTATACATGATGATAAACTGAGAGATGTAGAGGCTGGAAAATTTCTGACGGGCACCCTGAGTCTTGATGCCATGAATAATCATTGGTGTCAACAGATCTACCTACCAATTAAAACAATTTATTTTAATCTATTTTTAAAGTACATATTACACTCTGAAAACAATTAGTTATTGTTATTAATTATCCACTTAGGAAGACTCTAATTCTACAAATTACCTGGCATGGTCAGGGGAAGCAGGCACCAATGTTGAAATATGAACATGTATGTATTTAAAGCCATGGAACATAGGTAGGAATGAGTAGGAAAGGTACTTATTGAATTATCTATTTCCTGGCAAACCAGATCACTTTCAAATCATTGAGTCATTTCCTCCTCACACACATCCATGGGGCTGCACATATGAACCAGAATGGCCCAATGCTTTAACCAATACTTCTGTACCAGCCAAAACTAATTTCCTCCCTTTCTTAGACCAGCACTATCTCTGTAATACTATCAGGAATAAGTCATTACACTTCTTTCAAATGTTAATTGTAAAAATATTTTTCCTGCTTAGTCTTCCCTGACCCAGACAAATTTAGTACTGCTTTATCTGTGTTTCTACTTCATGTTATATATAATAACTTCATTCTAGCAAATTATTGCACTACATTATAAAGGTGCTTTGCTTGTCTTCTTCTCTTATTGGTCTGAGATCCTTCTTATGTCTCTGTTTATATGTAAAGTGAAGATAATTTTTATCTCAAAAGATTAAAGAGGTAATAGGTATAATATGATGAATCCAGTAACTAACACATACTAAGCAACAAACAAATATTCCCTCTATCTCTGGTATCTAACATGGTAGTATGTAAATGAAGATGCTTAGAAAATGCTTTGGAATGAAAGAGTGAATAATGGCAGAGTGGTAAGAAATGAAAAGTTCCCAAAGAAAGAGAACTGAATGATCAACAGAACAATCAGCCATGTATGCATGGCAAGAGATATAGGTAAATGGCTTCATAAGCAAGTCAGAGTTGACATTTTCATAGATGCTGTGGTGGTTTGAATAAGAATGGCCCCAATAGGCTCATATGATAGAAAGATTAGTCATCAAGGAGTGACACTATTAGGAGGTGTGGCCTTGTTGATGAAGGTATGGCTTTGTTGGAGGAAGTGTATCAATGGAGGTGAGCTTTGGGGTTTCAAAAGCTCAACCAAGCTCCAGTGGCTCTCTCTTCCTGCTGCCTGTGGATCCAGATGTAGAATTCTCAGCTCCCCCTCCACCAACATGCCTGCCTGCTGTCATGCTTCCCCTCATGATCATAAAATACACTAAACTTCTGAAACTGTAAGAAAGCTCCAATTAAATGCTTTCCTTTATAAGAGTTGCAGTGGTCATGTTGTCTCTTCATAACAATAGAACACTGACTAAGACAAAAGACATGACCAAATTGCTATGATCACACAACTTTTTGTTTAATGACACTATCTTCTTGAGTTGAATGTAAATGACATTTATATATCCATTCATTAAAAAAATATTTCTAGTGCTTACTCTGCACAAAACATTGTTTTTGGTATGGTGGTAATTAATGCAGGAAAACAATGAAGTAGAATAGTGAGTCATAGAGTGATCCTATCTTTAGATGAGACATCCTTGCCTTCTCCCAAATTAGTATTTCTGATTGAAGACAGTCTACTTTTCTTCTAAGTACTATGGTATAATCAATAAAAATACCATATTCAAGAATCAACTTTTTTCCAGAATTGGTTATACTATGTCTTTATGTAGAGTATAAAAAGCTTTTGTTTACCACTTGCTAATATATCTTCTAGTGAGTCTAATAAAGTTTTGCCAGTCTACCTACATTCTATGATTAATGGATGCTAGCTTATCTACTTCTACTTTTTTGCTGCGTCTCGTTTAAGCTATAACTGGTACCTTTTATATTTTTAACAGTTTAACACATAAAATGTCAACAACTTCACCTATGTAGGGAGACAGGTATTTCAGTTTGACTGTAATAGATATGTCTCTACTAGGAAGTGAGCAAGGTGTTGCAGTGGGATGTCTTTCTGTATGCTGTAAATATGTGTTGCTATGATTGGTTGATAAATAAAGCTGCATTGGCCTATGGCAGGGCAGGATAAGGTTAGGTGGTACAGTCAAACTGAAGATGAGATGAAGGGTAGAGCCAGGGGAGATACCAGCTGCTGCCAAATGAGCAACAAGATGCCAGCAGACTGGTAAGGCCATGGCCACATGGCAACATACAGATTAATAGAATGGATTAAGTTATAAGCTAGCAAGAAGCCTGACCCATAGGCCATACAGTTTGTTGGTAATATAAGCCTCTGTGTATTTACTTGGGAATGAGCAGATGCAGGACCAGGCAGGATACAGAAAAACTTCTGCCTACAAATGGTGCCCATACATGGTGGCAAGAGTTCCACCTAAAACCTGAGAAAACTTAAAAGGAGATTCTAAAATTAAGCTAAGAACAGCTTCCTAGTTCATGTATGTCATTCCCGGCCATGTCCCCTGGTCTTGGCAGGCTTCAGAAGCAATATGCCAGGCTCCTGTGGTCTCTCACAGGCTGCAATACCAAGAGGCTTCTCCCAGCCACTGCCTTCTGGCTTGGGAGCACAGCTGCAGGCTTAAAAACATAGGTATATTTAATACTACTTCCCAGAATTGGGGAGGTAAGTGTGACTCATTGGTACCTGCGCCATGTTGAAAAACTGAGTGAGGTGGGGCCAGCAGCCAGGGCTGCTGCTGCTTCAGTCCTAACCATGCTACCTACAGTTTAAAGCAATGATCAGAAAATGATTATAGATACATAAAGAGACAGTAAAAATAATATAAAAATTAAGCCATATAAAGATGAAAGTTATACAAAGAATCTGGATACTGCATATTATTATATTGTCTTTGGGATTTTTAACTGCAAAGAGACATTTGATTGTAGGGGCTACTCAGTTAAACCAATATGTATATTTTAAAGGTATCTTGACTTCAAAATTTGTGTCTAAGGATATGTTGCTTTGGAAAAGATGTTCTGCTTTGGTTTCCACAGAAGTTACCTGCTGCCTCACTAGGGGCAGTGCTTCAAGGTCAAAGCTGGAACAGGTACCCACTACAGATGAGAACCTGTGGATTTCTTCCAGGCTAATATGGTTTGATCAACCAAGACCCCCTGAAAGGTCGATACAGCCTCACAGACTATTACAGCCAAGATTTAACTATAATTCTTAATTTTCTCAGGATCCCCATAAGATTGCCAGTGCCCCCAACCAGCAGGAAGTAGTATGAGAAACTACACCCAAATTCCCAAAACATTGTGCATAAATGTTTATTTTCATTTAAAGTATGTTGATTATAAATGCAATCTCTTCCTAAAGAAGAAAAGAGGATGTAGTGGGTAGCTATTCCAGCTTGGATCTGGAAGTTCCAACCCCCATTGAGACTCTGGCAACTGTCACGCCTACGAGGCGGGACCAAGGGAGGCATCTGGAGACTCGAGACCTGGATGGGCAAGCGCTCTCTCTGTTCCTGGACCCTGGACCCTGGACGGTGGAGGTTGACTGAGCAGAGCTCCAGAGAACACCGCTGGATTGCAATACACCTTCCCCAGACCCCCACAACCTATCTATTCCTTCATTTGTAAGTCACCCACTAAATAAATCTTCCTTTTAACTACGTAGAGTGGCCTATATAATTTCCCCATTAAGAGGATAAAGATATGATAGGATAAAAGGGTAGATTATTGAATCTACTTTTAAAAAGCAACAACTCATTTGAAATATTTTACATTGCTATAGATTTTAGTTTACTGATACAAATTTATATTTTTGGTTGTGAGCCTAGCCTTTAACAGCTGAGCCATCTCTCCAGCCCTATTGATACAAATTTAAAGTTAATTTTGTTATACTGTATGTATATTTCTACTCTTGTTTAAGGTATTATGTTTATGCAATTCATTTAAAATTGTAAAATATAATTAAGAAATACAGATTAATAGTCATCTAGAATAATCAAACTTATAGTCATGTTAGTTAAGTTTTTTAGGTAAACATAGATATATTTCAATTAGGTAGATAATCTTTAAACACTTCAAAGACCTACAGAATATGGCATTTAAAATGTTTTAAGAACTTAGACTTTTCTGGACATTGAGACATGTCTGCTCCTGGCAGCACCAATCTAATTCAGAAAATATGATGGGCATAGAAGAAATTAATTATGGAGTTTGCTTTCTTTGTGGCAAAAGCAAGCCACTGGGCAAAAAAAGTGCCCTTGACTTGACTGCTTGACAGGATGCTGTATAACTAGACATGCAGGACCCATAGGAAGGTGATCACTGAACTTTGCAAAATGAAATAGTCCTTCAGGTTCCTGCTTCACAGAAGAAACTACAAGACATTCTACAGGACAAGGGGAGAATGGAAGAAGTGCCTGAGGAACTTTGCCAGAGTGGGCAGAACAGTCCTTAAAATTTCTTGCTTCACTGAAAGTTATGCCAGAGACTGTAGGCCTGTAGGCTGAAGGTAGATGCCCCAACATTACAGAGGAACTTTGAATGACTGTCCAGGCTGCCAGCTGTCCCTGTCATTTCTAGAATTATGGAAGTTGTTTGCCATGCACTTCCTGTTTACTCAGGTAATATTATATCCTTCTAGGGTCTTTGATGAAGTTGAAGACTAGATAGTTATAATTTTCCTTGGTTATGATAAAAGATAAATTAGATATAAAACTTTAGAGTCACAAAAATAGAATAGATGATAGAATATTTCCTTCAATTTTGCCAAATACAAATATTGTAACTGTAATTCTTTCTTGACAACTGTTTTGTTATATATAATTTTGCTATGTTAAAGTTAAAACCTTCCTTTTGATTAGACAGAAAAGGGAAAGTGCTGTGGGATATCTTTCTGTATGCTGTAAATATGTGTGGTTCTCACTGGATAATAAATAAAGCTGTTTGGCCTATGGCAAGAAAGCTTACAGCCAGGTGGGAAATGCAAGCAGAGATACAGAGAGAAGAAGAGTTGAGTGGGGAGAGATGTCAGCCACTGCTGAAGGAGCAACAAGATTCCAGCAGACAGGTATTTGTATGG